CTCCCCCTTCTCGCAGGAAGAACCGAGGTTGGGATCGACTCCTCTGGCCATGCTTGCTGCTACCTGTAATAAGATCGGCAGCCCCAGCCCGTCTCCCTCCTCCCTCTCGGACAGCTCCTCTTCCTTCGGCAAAGGCTTCCACCCCTGGAAACGGTCCTCCTCCTCCTCCTCCGGCAGCTGCAATGTAGTGGGTTCCAGTCTCTCAAGCTTCGGCGTGTCCGGGACCTCCAGGAACGGCGGCTCGTCTTCGGCGGCGGCGGCGGCGGCGGCAGCGGCGGCGGCGGCTGCAGCCCTGGTCTCCGACTCGTTCAGTTGCGCGGCTCGCCGGGTTCCAGCGCCTTCTCCCTAACCTCCAGCAGCGCCGCTGCTGCCGCGGCCGCCGCCTCCAGCTCCCCTTTCGCAAACGACTACTCGGTGTTCCAGGCCCCTGGCGTCTCGGGGGGCAGCGGCGGCGGGGGCGGCGGCGGCGGCGGCGGTTCCTCTGCGCACTCGCAGGACGGCTCCCACCAGCCGGTGTTCATCTCCAAGGTGCACACCTCGGTGGACGGGCTGCAGGGCATCTACCCGCGCGTGGGCATGGCGCACCCATATGAGTCGTGGTTCAAGCCCTCACACCCGGGCCTGGGCGCCGCCAGCGACGTGGGCTCGGCCGGCGCCTCCAGCTGGTGGGACGTGGGCGCAGGCTGGATCGACGTGCAGAACCCAAATGGTGCGGCGGCGCTGCCGGGCTCCCTGCACCCGGCCGCCGGGGGGCTCCAAACCTCGCTGCATTCACCGCTCGGAGGCTACAACTCGGATTACTCAGGCCTGAGCCACTCAGCCTTCAGCAGCGGTGCCTCCTCGCATCTGCTCAGCCCCGCGGGGCAGCACCTCATGGACGGCTTCAAGCCGGTGTTGCCCGGCTCATACCCGGACTCGGCCCCGTCGCCGCTGGCCGGCGCTGGGGGCTCCATGCTGAGTGCCGGGCCGTCGGCGCCGCTGGGGGGCTCCCCGCGCTCCTCTGCGCGCCGCTACTCGGGCCGCGCCACCTGCGACTGCCCCAACTGCCAGGAGGCGGAGCGGCTGGGCCCCGCCGGGGCGAGCCTTCGGCGCAAGGGCCTGCACAGCTGCCACATCCCGGGTTGCGGCAAGGTGTACGGCAAGACGTCGCACCTCAAGGCGCACCTGCGCTGGCACACGGGTGAACGGCCCTTCGTGTGCAACTGGCTGTTCTGCGGCAAGCGCTTCACGCGCTCCGACGAGCTGCAGCGGCACCTGCGGACCCACACCGGCGAGAAGCGCTTCGCCTGTCCGGTCTGCAACAAGCGCTTCATGCGCAGCGACCACCTCAGCAAGCACGTGAAGACGCACAGCGGCGGCGGCGGCGGAAGCTCGGCGGGCTCCGGCAGCGGCGGCAAGAAGGGCAGCGACACCGACAGCGAGCACAGTGCCGCGGGCAGCCCGCCCTGCCACTCCCCGGAGCTACTGCAGCCCCCCGAGCCCGGGCACCGCAACGGCCTGGAGTGACGCGCACCCCGCGCCTGTCCCTCTCCCCGACCCCTCCCACCCCGTTCCGCTTGGGCCCTGGCTGGCCTGGCCTCAGCTCCAGCCTCTGCCCACTGCATCCTGCTCGCTCACTCTCTGTCTCTTTGTGTCTCTGTCCCTCTCTTCTAACTCCCCCTGTGACTTTGTAAAGGAGATATGGACATGTAAGTAACACGCGTTGCCGTCCTAGGTCCTAGCTTCCCCTCTCCACCCGGTAACACATTCGGAGCCCCGCACAGCCCAAATCTGAGCCTCGCCAGGCCTTTAATGCTCGTTCTCCCTCCGCCATCCCAGGGTGTGACGGGCCTGTCTTTAACAGGAGGCGGCTGCTGGAGGTAGAGCTGGACGAATCCAGCCTGTGGGAGACCTGGGCCTCAGCCCCGGTGGGAACAACTCGGCTGAGCTAGGTTGAGCAGCGCCATGGGGAGGGCGAGGCAGGAGGCCCGCGTAGGGCATCCCCACGGGGCAGCTGACGACTTGGTTACAGAACAGCAGTCTTGGGCATTTGGGCTTCAGAGAGTCCTGCCCGGCCGCTGCCCACCCTGCGCCGAACCGTCGGAGCTTTGTGGGGGTGCCCATCTAGCCGCACCGAGATTCGGAGTTTGCAAAGTTTAGCTCTCCCAACGTCAGTCAGCTCTGCCTCTTTTTCTTTGTTCCCTGAGGTGGAACCGATGCAACTTTCAGCTAAGGGCAGTCTTGGCAAATCGCTGCAGCAGCCTTCTTTCATCTTTATAACATTTTTTTTTTTTTAACTAAACGCCTAAAGAAAAGGAAAAAAAAAAAACCCGGCATCCTTCCACTTTGTTTCCCGCCTAGGTTTTTCTCTAGCAGTGAGCAAGTCTTTCTCTTGAAACTGCTAATATTGATCCCAAAGTTATTTTGATCCCATTAACTTATGGGATGGGGGTGGGGGTGAGGGTAGGTGTCTTTCTTATGTAAAAATACCCCTTTCCGGTGAGACCAGATTCACTATCTCCATGTTTGTCCTTTTCTACCTCGTTTTTTCACAACTCCCGAACCTAATCTCCCCATTTTTTTTCTTTTGCTAGTCCAGACATCAATTTGTATTGTACCCGTTTCTGTAAATTCTTGCAATTCATTGAAGATTCTTAGGGTTAAACTTTTTTTGGTGTGATTTAAACTTATGAACAAGTGAAGAAGCTATCGTTTATTTCAGACCAGGCTGTAGTTTAAATGCCAAAAGAGGGAAAATAGGGGGGAAAAAAACCTTTGTAAAATATATCTGAACCTAATGGTTTGTACAACTGGAGAATCGTTCTAGATTAGTTACCAATTAACTATCACTCCACCAGTGTATGGGTGCGAGGTGCAGTTGTCCAGGAGACGATTTTGTATAGTATTTTTCTTGTACATTACTTCCAGTAAATATTTGAAAATATATTGAAGTAAAGTTGATTTTTTTTTTTTGGTTACAAGAAAATATTAAGAGTTATTGTTGCAGTTCTGATGAGCTGCGGGTTTTTTGAACTCACTTCTGGAGGTGCAGAGCCACACACGCACTTTCGGGGCCTAGTTTTGCTCGAATATGAATTTAGATAGGTATCAAACTGTAAGTAAGACAATATTTGATAAATGTGGGATGACATTTAATTTAATGGAGCATGTTCTTATTTGCATTTGCCAGCAGTTCAGGCATAGTTAAAGTGAGAGTTCTACTATATTTCATAACTGGGTCTACCAAAACCCATGTATTAAATAAATTGTCCAAGTGAAACGCAACTAACTTTGGCCTTTGTGTATTTCCTGAAGGTAATATTGTTAACTGTTAATTACTACTCCTGACACTACATTTAAATGTTTGCAGATTCTGCAAACTAATTGCTCATTGTAATGTTGAAATAATTTGGATATTTCACATTGAAATGAAAAGCCTTTCTCTGGAACATTTTAGACTTGCATTTTAAATGCATGAAATGTAATTGATTTATTTGTAATATTTTAAATGGTATTAATAAACTCATAAAAGACTAGGCCCGTTAATTTGTATTTTTTTTCCTTTTTAAACTATGGACAGTCACATTTTATCTTCAGTTAAATGTCTAATTTAAACAAAAATATAACCCTGTTTTGTGATATTTAAATAATTACCTTTAAGATATTACTTAAATGGAATGATCTATTTGGCGAAACTGTGTTTTCTCTATTTACCAAGATAAAGATTATAGTGTCTAAGAAATGTAATTAATTATTTACCAGTAGGTTTAGCTCAAAGCATCAGGGTTTACTGACCTCTTAAAATTTGTACTAAGTTGCCAAACAATTCAAAGAAATTTCCCATTCTACTTCCTTCTCACCGTCCAGAAGGAGTCAGGCTGTTGGCCATTGATTGCATTTGGTATTTAAAAGGCCAAGCCTTACATTAGAAGATCAATACACCTAAAATAAAAACATGGGTTTCGGGATAACTTTTGTTGTTAAGGGGTGGAGGAGGTCAAGCTAACAAAAGCTTGTTTTCGGCATTCCATGTTTTAGCTCAAGATTATGTAGAGGTAGATATCAGTAGATGCCTGTTGAAATGAGTTATCTGTTCTTTTAAAGTCTCTAAACAGCCACCAAAGAAAAGGAAGGTTAAACCTTAATCTATTTACTAGGCTATTGTTCGTAGGTGTCAATGATGCCAATAAAAAAATATTGTCATGTTATGTAGAAGTGCATTTAAGCAATGGGTGTTCCTTGAGCCATACTTTGAAACATAAAATACTTTAAAATGTTGATTGCTGTTATATCAAACTATTTCACTATTAGTTTAATATTATTATTTTGAATCAAACTGAATAAAAAGTTAGTGTGTTCAGATTCTTATAAGTTTAGCTTCTTTCTTTCCGTTTGCATTCTCCCCACCCCAAGTTCAGTCTTGGTGTACATCTCGAACTGAAAAATTTCCATTGAAATGTATGTAAAGTTATTATCCATGGAAACAAGTGAAAATACAGAGTGCTATGAATATTGAAAATTTAGAAGTAAAAAGCAATTAGGGATAAAATATTTTAGAGGAATGCAGAGACCTCCATGGTTTTAGGGAAGCAAGTTAGCTCTGATCCTTTGGTATACTGTAGCTCTAAATAATGGTTTTAAAAAGTAAAATAGTCTCTCTGTCACTTTCTTCCTAGGAAGAATAACACGCAGAACACAGTTTAAGTGTTTCTTTTTTATTCAAAGTTGCAGCGCTGAGGAGGAAACGGGTCTGAAGGAGTTAAATGTAGTGGCAGGTAAGGTAAGCTGCTTGGTATATTTATAACAGTTGCATTACATACAGAATCACATTTGATTTAAGAGGTGGATGATGACAAGGAGAGATTATCTAGAAGGGGGACAGATTTTTCTGTGGTATATAGATTGCAAACTTTCACTTTCTTCCTTTGGCTCCTCCTCCCCCCTCTCGCTTCGGTGTATTTTGTTTTGATGGTTACTGAGCAGCATTTCTAGATTCCTGTCCTGCAGGGTGGGCAGGGTTCCTTTTCCGGGAGGCACATCCTGTTTTCGGAGGACAGAGGATGAAGTGCAAAATGGTGATTTCTCCCTGCTTTGTCTGTGTTAAAAGCATCTCTTAACAGAGCCTGGAGGCTCACTCATACGAAGCCAAAGGCTGGGTTTCACTTTGAACCAAGGAACAAGCTTCCAGTCTTCCAGATCACGGTAGAATTAAACTAGTTGTTGACCCAGAGGTCAGGCCAGCATGTATCAGGCCACCCTCCAGAGACAGGAATAGGGTTGAGGCTCAATGCAGCCTTTCTGTTGACCTGCCTCATTTCGTCCCCAAACTTGAGTGTTTCTTCCCCATCCTACTGTCTCCTTTTCTGGCTGACCTTCTCTCTTTTTTGGATGATCTCTTTCACTTAGGGATGTACATGACTTGGTTTGTTGAGGTTGAACTAGCAACGAAAATATTTTATGCTAGAAACTTAAATTAAGCCAATGTGATGAGTTCCTTTCCCCTGTCAGCTGACCTTGGAAAAAGTTCTGGATGAGTTTGCCTTCCTTCCACTCTCCTCCTCCCCCAATCTCGGTATAACTTCTCAACTGGGCTTCTTCCCTTGGGGAAAGAATGCTGAAATTAAAAATTACAGACAAGCAGCTGATGAGACTGGACTCCTGAGTGAGCAGATCAATCGATAATCCTGCCATCAATGTTTTCATCTCTCCTCGGATCTTGTGCTGAGATTATTGAATGAAATGTTACAGCAGGTCTGTGGAGGAATTTCTTTAAAATAAATATTTCATTTTAGGGTATTAGCGAAAAGGTCAGATTATCTTTTAGGCTGGAAATTCAAGCAGGAACTTGAGAGGAAAAAAAATGTATGGATGGATTTCATTCTTCTCTGGTTGCCTAAGATGGTAGAGGTAAATATTATAATGTAAGAAGTTCTACATTTTGCTCACTTTTTTTCATACAAATAGCGAGATTTGTATGAAAAAAGGAGATTAATTTGACGTAGGTGTTTTGAATAAATTGGGGTTTTCCATTTTCCTGCTGATTTTTTGCTGCTTCTGTCCAAACAGGCATTATTTCTCCCTAAGAACACCTGAGGTAGGATCAGGTCTCTTTTTAAAAAAACATGGTTTCTACACTGGTCTGCTTTTCTGTCTTTAGTAGATGAACTCTATCACTACATTTAAAGAGTATCGTGTTTATCAGGAGTAGTGAAGTGTAGACTAAATTTTAAGTTAGGACTATCATTCTGGGTGGCATCTTTTGAAGACTGCATGATACACAATTGTTGCTGTTGTTTAAAAAATAAGATTCAGAATCTGCTTGCGCTCTGTTTATTCCTTGCTTCCGGATTAAAGGAGAGCCGGTAATTCCTTGCTATCCTGAGCTCCAGCCGCTGCGGTTTAAGGGGATGCGCATCAGTGGGCATCTCTTTAGGTTCGCTGCGCTCCCTGTGCGCACAAGTGTTGATTTGCTATAGCGGTGGGGAGTGGATCTATTTTCTTTGGTCCCTGGGCGCGTGTTTAATTTAATTTAATTTTCTGCCGAGTCTCTTGGCGGTGAGGAAGCAGCCTTCTACATTTTGCTATGGTTCCTAACAACCGTCAGGCTTCAAGAGCTCTAGGGACAGCGGAGAGCTTGCGGGCGACTAAGAAACCAAGACTAAAGCTCCCGCTCGAAGCTGCGGCTTTTCACTGTTGTTCGAATGTCGTTCTTTTAAGTTCCATCCACTGGGGCTTTTAAACCCAACCCCTAACTTTGCTTCTCAGGCAAGCACTTCTTGCTGTGCGGGAGGGAGCGGTGGAGGCGCCCTCTGCGTTTCTTGCAGGGCTCTTAGCTGAGGTGTCTGGGCTGCCCAGTTTCCCTCGTTCTCCTTTTCAATGCATTCATGGGGAGGTTTTGAGCCCGGAAGAATTTCCTAGCCTTTCAAAAGGCTATTTCTTTTCTCGCCCCGCTCCTAGACGTGCCGGCTGCCCCGAGAAAGACCTCTGAGACCCACACCTTCATTCCCCAAGGGCTCGGATCTGGCGACCTGCACCATCCGCCCACGGGTTACAGCGAAGGGTGGGGTCTCCTTGCGAGCTCTGGCCCCCCCCCCCTTGCCGTGCCCCTCGTGCTGCGGACCCCAGCAGCCAGTGCACACAAAGGCGCCGCGGCTGCCTCCGCAGACAGCGAGCGCCACCCTGTGCCCCGCGCCCGCTCTGCAGCGTGCCCAGCGCAGGCGACGCCAGCCGGACTCGGCCTGCGCTCCTC